GACTCCAAAAGCCTAAGTCTGATAAGGGATTTCCCACGGCGAAACATAAGGGGGGTGAGTGAGTGAGTGAGTGGGAGAGAAAGAGAGAAGTGGAGAGAGAGAGAGGGGGGGGAGGGCGTGGCAGGCTTGTCACCGGCAGCTCCGGGGCCGTGCTCTGGCGCTGCACGGCGAACTTTGATTGCGTTCAAGCGCGTATAAGCTGCCATGTGGTCTACCCGCCCGCCGGGGCCCCGGGGCCGAGCCCCCCCCCCTACCCCCCATCCTCGCTCCTCACTCAGTTTCTCGCAAGTTTGACGGCGAGCACGGCGAGCTGCGCGGCGCGCTGGCGTCCGACGGCGGCCGTCATGGCTCGCTCCCGAGGGCGGGGCGGAGCCGGCTACCGCGCCATGTGACGAGACGTGAGACGTATGGCGCCCGGCTCTTTTGGTATCGCACGACGGAGGGAAAAAGAAAATTAAACGGTCAGGAGACGCCGTTTAAGGCTAAAGCGACGGGAAGCGTTGTCGACCGCGTCTAGGGTTGGAAGTTTCCCAATTTTTCCGGAAAATTTCCGAAAAATTTCCTGGAAATTTCAGGAAAATGACCATAACGGAAGACATCTTAAGTCTAGAAATTGATCTTTGGAGCCGCGCATATACTTGAAACAAGGAATAATGTCCTTGAAATCATAAAGAGTTTTTCTGGATGTCACAAAAGCGACATAGAAACACTCTGTTTTCCATGAGGCGGCTAGCCGTTTGGCATGATTGGCGGGTCTACCTGCTTATTGTTGTATAAATATTTTAAATAAAATCGTGGACGTGACACGTGTGCGCGACGTTCGCGTGAGCCTCGCCCGCCCCCGGCGGCCGGTGGCCCTGCAGGGGGCCTTCTAATTCCGTAATAACCAAACTTGTGCGCGGCGGGCCCGCCCGCCTCCATCCCGCATTCCATTATGAGCCCCCCTGATCCATTCTGCATGGACATCATTGCCGTTAACGAGGCCATGCTTCAGTTAGTGTCGCTTGCGAGTAGCGGAGCCCGGCGGAGCAGGCGGAGCAGGCGGAGCAGGCGGAGCAGCGGCCGGGGCGCCTGCGAACGGGTAAATAATGGAGAAGAGTCTAATTAGCAACACGTCACGAGAGAGCGGCCGGCGGCGGCAGCGGCGGCGGGCCGAGCCGCAGTCCCCTGGGAGAGAGGGAGGAAGGAGAGAGGCTGAGAGAGAGAGAGAGAGAGAGAGAGAGAGAGAGAGATGGGGTGGGGGTTGGAGAGAGGAGAGAGACAAAGAGGAGAAAGAGAAGGAGGAAGAGGAGAAAGAGGAGAAAGAGGAGAGAAAGAGGAGAGAGAGAGAGAGAGATGGGGTGGGGGTTGGAGAGAGGAGAGAGACAAAGAGGAGAAAGAGAAGGAGAAAGAGAAGGAGAAAGAGGAGAAAGAGAAGGAGAGAGAGAGAGACAAGCGGAAGAGCGGAGTGAAGAGAAAGAAAGGAGCGAGAAAGGGGAGAGAAAAAGAGGAGAGATACAGAGAGAGACATAGAGACACAGAGAGGAGAGAGGGGAGAGGGAGAGGAGCGAGAGAGGAAGAGACATAGGAGACAGAGAGAGAGAGGAGACAGAGAGAGGAGACGGAGAGAGGAGACAGAGAGAGGAGACAGAGAGAGGAGACAGAGAGCGCAATCTCGTGGCGTATAGTTTTTGGCGGTACACAGCGCAAGCGGGGACCACCCGTAATGCTCAGGAGCGACGATCGCGTTCCGCGAACACGAAACACACAATTATCCAAAGCCACCGACGACGGTGAGGCGGGATATACAGGGGGACCGAAAAAACAAAAACCATAACAACAAAACCGGAAAGATTATTGCAACCGATATTGCGCAATCGACATTAATAATAATAAAAAAAAAAACAACCCCTCAATAAAGTTTTTCTTGCTCGCGGCAGTTAAACTTCTGGAGAGACGGTCCCGCCACGACAGGTCGGTGCGAAGATAATGATCAATAATGTGTGTGAGTGTGAGTGTGAGTGTGTGCGTGTGTGTGACGGGACAGGTGTCACCGCATATTATTGTCTCATCCCGAAGCCCAAACCCGCCACGCCCCGCCACACCACGGAGCAGCACGTAAGCGGATTTCTAGTGAAATGAGATACCTCCCTCTTCTCTACCTCTTTTCTCCTCTCCGTTTCGTTTGAATGGGTATAGCGTGGAATAGGAGACACGTCTGGACGGCCCACCCAGAGGGCCCCAAAACAACAGAGACGGGGAGGAAGGGGAGAGGGGGAGAGAGAGAGAGAGAGAGAGAGAGAGAGAGAGAGAGAGAGAGAGAGAGAGCAAGAGAGCCGTCGCGCGCGTGACTGAAATGAGAACTCATCAAGGTGGATCGGCGACGCCCACCCGCCTCGCGAGGGCTGGACCGGACTAATTGGGTCATTATATTCGCTGCTGATGTTGATGATGTCATTCGTGGCGGGCGGTGAGTTTGAGCGCCATCCGTTGTCGCCAACGGAGACGAAGAACAGAGGAACGCGCGTCCAGGCGATCGCTGCTAATCGCTTCCGCAAACTAAACAACAAACGACTTTTGATCGCATTTCGACAGCTCTGTGGAATATAAATGTTTCTGTTCTACCTTAGCGAATCATCTAGGCCAATAATAATAATGATATCCCCGTGTTTTGACAGTGTCAGCTGGCGTCGCACTTAGAGCAGCTGCAATACTATAGCGACGCGCAGCCGGGGAGGTCCGCTGGGGCCGCCCGCCGTCGTGGCGCTAGAGGGGTTCCGACCACCCCCTTCCGACTCCTTCGTCTCTCTCTCCCTCTCCCTCTCTCCGAACCAATCCACTGCGGTTTGGGGGAGAAGTGGGGGTGGGCGGGGGGCCTTGGGTGGCGAGGAGCTGGTGTCGCGCCCCCTGAAGGCGACGGCGGCGACGTCGTCCCCGGAGCCAGCAGTTCTGACGCAGCCTCGTCAACGCCGTCCTCGTCGCTTTCGGAGGCATTCTCTCTCTCTCTCTCTCTCTCTCTCTCTCTCTCTCTCTCTCTCTCTCTCTCTCCGGGCCGCGGGGCACCCTGCGGCTTATGACTTCCCACGGGCGTCGTGCATCACGCGGCCGGCGCGCCGATAGGCAGCCCCGCACCACCGCAGAGGGAAAATAAAAAAAGTGAAAAGAGAAAGAAATGAGAGGGGAGGGCGCGAGCAAGGGAAAGTGTTGTGCGTACGTCGTATAAAGCGTTATCACAGTCGTGTTGTGCTGCTGTGACCGACTACTTGCTCTCTTTTGTGCCACCGTGGGCGCTTTTTGCTTTACACTGTTATTGTGTCTGATAGACATCAAAATAAATGCGCTTTTCAGTAGTGAAAAGAAATTTATTTAAACAAAAACTGGTTAGAAAGTCCTGGAATATTTCCGGAAAGTTTCCGAAAAAAAGGAAAAATTTCCAACCTTAAAAAAAAAACAAGAATGAGGCTGGCTAAAAATATCAATTGGTTGCAAGCTGCACGACATAAACTATGCGACAAACTTACATAAATATAGAAAAAAGAAAGTTAAAAAACAAAATAAGGGATTGAGGGTCTAATTTCCGCCAAAAACTGCGTTGCGCTTTTTGGTCGTTGCGGTGGGTGCGAGAACGAGTATAAAATTGAAGGTGGCATAGTTGGACCGTGATCTGCGTGAGCGACGTGGCACCGGCGACTCGGCCATAGCATGCTCGCTCCACACCGCGACCACCTTTTCGATCGACGAGCGACCGCAAAGAAAACTCCCAATCCGTCAGGAGTAGTAAAATAAAATAAAAAAAAAAAAGACGTTTTAGTGTCGCA